AATGTTACGCGGTCATATTTTCGACGCTATTGCACAGAATGTTTGTCGCACTGCTGATTTCCAAACCTTCAGAAAACTCTATGAGTCTAACAATTTTGTTATCATGTAATTCTAAAGGATTAATCCTCGACTTTTATCTAAATCGAAAGAAAAATAAGTGTTGGTTGGCGACGTACAGTTGCGACCTATTTACATATCAGTATATTAGTCGTAACGCTTCTTGATTGATCACACAACTTTGCGGCTATGTTATAAATACTGCGGGATTGGAAGATATAGGTTGTCGGTAGTATTTCTACAAGTTGCTGGTTGGCTTTAAGCAGAAAATTTTGAAAATAGCGTTTGAAAGTCTACGGAACAAATTCCAGTGAGAGTTCTTCAATGGTTCTCACACGGCTCAGTTGGCTTATTTCGGTTCGGCAAAATCAACCACCGTTCACGTATTTATCGCACCACAGTGACCGATCATCGCCAGTAACTTGTGCAGTATATCTTTCTTTAAATCTGGGATATTGCTGCAACAGCCGATGGCGCTTCTGGAAGGCGTTTCTGTGCACTTTTCGAATGTGTATTGCACCATCCTGAGGGAAATGAGAGGACGTGAGATATTCAACCTTCCTGAGTAGAAGTCACAATAGTCGCTGGACCCATTCTCCTCAAACTCGGTCGCGAAACAAAATGGCGGTGTTTTGGAGCTATTTTCGAGATTTTGTCGGGGCACAGAAAATCGAGGATTTAACCGAATACAATTTTTTTTTGGCAGAAGTATTTCAAATAACAAGTAGATTCGTTTTAGCGAAAAAAAAAATGGAGGTTAGGTGCACTTTAAAGAGTACAGTAGAGCGATTTTATTCAGGATATCTCCCGGGGTTATTGACAAAAGGCGATAGTAAGAGGACGTCAAGATAAGAAATCCTACACCGAAAAATCACTCGGCAGTGAAAGGTCAAACTCCCTGGTTTGTGCGGTAGGCACTCCTTTCGCGCGCTCCTCGCCCCCAGGATTTCACGCGGCCATTTTTTTTCCTCGCAGTTTTCTTTCACGTCACGCACGACGGTCTGAACGAAAGAGGGACTACTAGTGGTCTAGCTTTTGACAGGATTGCATCCCATCTTTTCCTGATACCGTAAATCCTCAAATTAGCGGCCGGGCGCTTATTTCAAACTTAGGAGAAGATGGGAGGCACTTATTCGAGGGGCGCTTAATCGAGTGGGGTGGAGGTGGGGCGCTTATTTAATTTTTCCCAAATCGTGGCCTGACATGATAATTTTTTTTAATACATCATCTGTGCGAAAACAACAACATAAGCTGTTTATCGATATAAAAGCTGATCCTAAAGTTTAAATCTATCGCGGCACAGTAAGTACTTAACGTGTTCAACGTGTTCACTTAACGTGTTCACAGACTGAAACAATGTACAAATTTAATACTACACGACGAAAATTATACATCCTTTGTTGGCTCAGTACTCGTTAACAAAATGGGGGAAGGGGAGGGTGCGCTTATTCGAAGGGGGGCGCTTATTTTAAATTTTGGCCGATTGGAGGGGCACTTATTCAAAGGGGGCGCTTATTTGAGAGGGGGCGCTAATAGAGGTGTGTCGCGTCCAAGCAATGTAGTGCTTCCGGTGTAGATACCTTAACCCCTATATCAAATTGAATCTCAAAGAGCTAGTTTGCTTTCAAACTATACCAAGAATTTTGAAATAAAACGAATTGTAGAATTTTCACGACCTCTAAACTTGAGCATGCGAATGTCTTATTTCCAAATACATTTTTTTTTCTCCTAGAGCGAGTTTTCTACGATTACTCCATATTTTTTAATCCTATTTCGAAAATGTCCTGTAGCTTTTTACTTAACTTGAATATGGCAAATCGTAGACCCATGATTTTTAGCGCATTGGGTCCGGAAACTGAGGGACAAATTAAATAAGCGAAAAACAAAATGCGCTTTGACTTGTAGCTTTCAAAAGGTGATTCGGACGCTCGCATTTAGAGGTCTTAAGAAATTCGACATTTCATTTTATTTCAAAATTCTTGGTACAGGTGAGGAAGCTTTATAAGCTATAATTTTATATGGGAGATTAGGTATTTACAGTTTAAACCGAACGCACCACATTGCTTGGATGTGACACACCTCTGAAGGTATACGGTAACCTTAATTTCTGTTAAACATCATTTAAAGACATAGTTGCCCTAGAAATGTCAAGGCAAGTAACGAAACAATCGACACACCCAATTTTTTTCTGGTAGATTCTGGGAAAGTCAAAAAAGTGAGGAAAGTTCAGCCCAAGCCAGGCACCTTAACCCCCCCCCCCTCCCCTCGCCCCCCTCACCTTCTCTCCCAGGGCCAAATACGGTGAA